GGACTTTCTAAAATTAAGATAAAAGAATTATATTCTCTTTTTTAGGATTAACACATAATTCATTCTACCTCCAGAGAACTTGACTATTTCTGGTTTCACTCGTTCCATCACTGCAGTCACAGCTTTCTTCAGGTCCTCCATGGAGAACTGTGGACTGATTGTGATACGGGGTAAGTCTGCAGATTGAGGAGGAGCAGAGAGAGACTGGAAACTCTGCAGAGATGAAGAAACACAGATTTAGCTTTTTAGAGCTGAGAAATTTGCAGCACTTCCAGTGGAAAGAGGGACACGCCTTCTGTAGATGATCAGAGAGTCAGTGATGTTACCTGGAGGAAATGGATGTGATCCTCTGAGTGTGAAAGCTGCTCCAGCTCAGCGTCTCTCCTCCTCAGATCAGCAATCTCCTGCTCCAGCTTCTTCAGGAGCTCTTCAGCCTGACTCAGTTCAGTCTTCTCCTGAGCTCTGATCAGCTCTTTCACCTCAGAGCGTCGTCTCTCAATGGACTCAATCAGTTCAGTAAAGATCTTCTCACTGTCCTCCACTGCTGCCTGTGCAGAGCGCTGTTAGGAGACACACAGAGAGGAGGGGCTTCATCTGAAGCAGCTCTTTCACTGACTTCTCCACAGTGGGGCTCAGTGGGGCTGGAAAGTGACCCAACACTGGGCTCCTCACTGGCTGACTGGAGGAGAGTGGTCAGCTGGTGTCTTCTCCTCTGGTCAGTATACTCACCCTGAGATTGTCCATAGCCTGTCTCAGCTCCTGCAGTTTATTCTCCGTCTGCTGGATTCTCTGCTGGAATTTCCTCTGATTCTCCACCAGCTGCTTCTGTAGACAAAATACAACAAAACTTCATGTGTCACATTTACATGCTGACTGTTGTTCTCTTTACAACCACTTGGGAAACATATTCATAAAATGAGTCTATCTATGAGTGTAACTGTATTCTAATAATCTTCTTCAGAATTTGTTTTATGATCACGATGTTCAGCCAAGGATGCAGCAAAGTTTTAAATAAGTGAAAAAAGAATGTTTTGAAGAGAGTTTCGAAAGAGAAAACTGTATCATCTATACGCTCCTCTGTCTTATTTACTGTCTTTCATGGAAACCACTAATACCGAGGGAGGGGTTATCATACACACACACCCACACTCAAATGACTGGTCTTTTTTTCTGAAATCGTTTAGAAATTATAGCTAATGTTGGCTCTTATTTTGTTACAGTGAAAAATTTAAAAAAAGTTATATTTTAGAACATTTATTTATCTGAGCCAAACCAGTCTGTGTGGTATATACAGGGCCGGGTATGGGCTTTTCAGGATCCAGAAGCAAAGCTTTGTTCTGATCCTGATTCCAAACCACGCCCACCTTAGCATTTCACTCCATGTAATGACAATGACACAGGCTTTATTTAAGTACAGTTTAAATCCAGCTCTTTTAACTCATTAGAAGTTAATTTGTTTTGGTCTGACTTTTTAAGAATGTCTTACATTTCATAACGTTTTACAGACACAGTGCATCACCTTATACACTACCAGTCTCACGTCTCTCACTGTGTTTTATTACAGCTGGGTGTCTGACTGAACTTCATTCTACAGTTTATTCATGATTATATATGAATATATGGATCCAAACTGCAGTAACACAGAAAAATATATTTTAATAAACAATTAATTATTAAGACCACAGACCTTTACAAGTACAATGTTAGGCTCCATTTAAACGGATTTAAAAGGCTCCATTTAATCAGCTAAATATATGCGAAATCATCATTTATAGAGTAGTTTGTATTTAATGTGTCTTTTTGTGTTATTTAATGTATTTTTTCTTGATTCCTTTTAAAGTGAAGCTGAAAGATTTAGATCCATGAGTTTTATTTATTAAAAAACTTTATCAATAAATTTGCTGCCTCATGTTTTTATGTCACTACCAAAATTTTGGGAGTTTTAATTTTAGCCACATCCCTGCATTTTAGAGCAGGACGTGAGACGGTATTCCTGTCCCTCATGGCTACATGGTGAGCAGTTAGATCTTATTGTTTTGAAGTAAATGTGTCCAAAAGTTTGAAAATCAGTGTTTAACATTAAGTGTCTTCTGCAAGTAAATAAAATTTTTGTGCTTTAATGAAAAATATTATGATTTTGTGTGTCCAACTGTTTGAAGCTGTGTTTGCTAGTCATGGACTGGCTGGTGTTTTTGCTCAAAATGAGCTAAAAATTGTTATTTTTCTGTACTTTTTTAACATTGTCACTTTAGTACAGCGATATTCCAGCCATGGTTCCCCATCCTGAACTGTTCTACTACCTCCACTCCAGAACTTATACACTCACACCACGAGTGTATCCACATGTATCTAAGGCTGTATTGCACCTTGCACATTTCTCTTTCTGTAAATATGCTGGATATTTCTATTTTATTTTATCTCATACTGTTTTCTCACCTTCCATAAATGTTTAACACACACTTTATACACTACCAGTCCCACATCTATCAGTGTGTTTATTACAGCTGGGTAACTGACTGAACTTCACTCACTGTGCTGCTTCAGATGCTGACAAACCAGCTACTGCAGGACTTTCAGTGAATTCTTACCTGTTTCTCAGATCTTTCTGCTGCAGCTGAAACTGTCTTATGACCACTGTGTTCATCCATTACACACAAATAACAAACAAACTGCTGATCTGTGTGACAGAAAAACTCCAGCAGTTTGTCGTGAAGAGAGCAGATCTTCTCCTGCAGATTCATGGAGGCTTCAACCAGTTTGTGCTTCTTTAATGCAGGAGATTCATAGTGAGGCTGAATATGAGCTTCACAGTAAGAAGCCAGACACACCAGACAGGACTTAACAGCTTTGAGTTTTGATCCAGTGCAGACGTCACACTCCACATCTCCAGATCCAGCAGGAGATCCAGCAGGAGGAGCAGCTTGGAGCCTCGTCTTCCTCAGACCCTCAGCTAGTTCAGCCAGCATGGTGTTCTTGTTGAGAACAGGGCTTGGAGTGAAGCTGTGTCTGCACTGGGGGCAACTGTAGACCCCCCTCTGATCATCCTGAGCCCAGCAGTCCTTAATACAGTCCAGACAGAAGCTGTGTCCACAGGGAATAGTCACTGGATCCTTCAGTAGATCCAGACAGATCGGACAGTTGAAAGAGTCCAGAGTTTTTAGAGCGGCTTCTGCCATTTTACTGCACACAGAGACGAACAGAGCGAGCAGAGAAGGAGAGACTTTACTTTCGTTTCTCCGCTGATCTGTTCATTCTATGGGAGTGACTCTCTGTACGTGTTTGAGCTCATGAACCAATGAGACTGAGAGAAAAGAACATGGATGAAAAACGGAGGACGGCATTAAAGTCACTCCACCAGCTGATGTCTGTTACATTACTGCTGCTTGTATCTGTGTGAGAGAGAAACACTGTCAGGTCTGTGATTGGACTGAAATGTGATCTGCAGATGTGATAAAAAGCACATTGATTCAAATCAAAGAATCAGAGAGTCATTTTATCTCTCAGTCTCCTGAATGTAGAAGCGAATATTCCCAGTCTTCAGTCTCGGTTCATCACAAGACTCACAGCCTTAAACCTGCAGTGACTGAATAAAACAGCATTACCAACATAAACCTGACACCAAAGATCTTCTTCAGCTTTATTAAGATCATGTAGTTCATCTGGGTCAATACACGCTGTAAATATGAAGGGAAGACCACAAGCTGCGTTTCTCCCAGACAGTGAAGCAGCGCCACCAGCCTGTGAGGAGGTGAACTGCAGTATTGTGTCTGATGCTGGTCTGATATCGAGCAGCTGAACTGAACTATTTACTCTTAATCTAATCTGCAGTGACTGTGTAATCTGGATATTCTGATCAGCGCATTCACTTTGATCTGGTTTATTCATTTGAATGTCCTCATTTAAATCGTGTTGACTATAATTAGAACTGCAGCTCTGCTATTTAAACATTCTGCGGTTTTAAACTGTGATTTTAATATAAACACATTTAATCTCTTACAAAATGAGGAGGAAAAAGACCTTCATCATTTTGAATGGAACTGAATGGACGAAGTAGTTTTGGACCATTTCTATTGATCCATTCATCATGAAATTTCAACACAGTGTAAACAACAACTGGCCTTTTCAGTTTCTGTTAAAATAAACAACTACAGAAACGGAGATTCAAGGTTTTGTCTCCACAGTGATGAAATGTTAGTAAGATCATTTCTATATTTCTGCTGTGGAATAATCTCTCACTGACAGAACAAATGTCTGAATGCTTTGTGTGTCAGAATCAGAATCAGAATCAGGCTTTATTGGTACATTCACTGCTGATGAGTGTAAAGACGTGAGTGAAGAAGCTTTTCTGGAATCTGCTGGTTTTAACCCTCATTAGACTGAAGCATCTGCCCGAGAGGAGGAGCTGAAACAGGTGATGGTCAGGATGAGAGGGGTCAGTGATGATTTTCTCTGTCCTCTTCTCAGTTCTGGACGTGTCCAGGTGGAGCAGTGTGGGCAGATTAACAGTGGTGGTCTTTCTGCAGAGCTAATGATGCTCTGTATCCTGTCTAAGTCGTGTTTGGTGTCAGAGCTGCAGACTGTAATGGAGGTGCTGATGACAGACTCTATGATCTCTGTGTGGAACTGAAGCAGCAGCAGGAAATATGAGCATCAGATCAACAGATGGATTTTACATCAACTCATTAAGAGCTTTTAAATCTGCACAGAGTCATTTCAAATGTAAACCTTTACTGTTTACTGAGTCAGTGCTGTTTTAGCTTCACCTGCTACCCCTGAGAATGTCTATGAATATGAATGAATAATATGAAATTATTTAAACTATTTCTAGACATTTGTACTTGTGTTCATTAATACAGTGTAGTGAAATGATTTTGTCCCATTGGTGGACAGTTTTGCAAGTTTCATGCTTTAATATTGATATATTGACTATATTTAAGATGATTTCACTACTAAGATGTCATGTTTTGCAATGTTTGTGTTGTAATAAAGCAACACCATCATAAGAATATTATGATTTTAATAAAATGTTCATAAAAGCACATATTCCATAGTGTTTAACACATACAGGACAGATTTAAAGCGGCTGCATTATATGTTGTTTAATAATCTGTCAGATTCTTTGTTTTTTAAGTCGCACACATACGACTGTAGATGGAACACATGTTCAGCTTTTATAAGTATTTTAATTAAGATCACAGATCTGAAGATATTCATCATAATCATAAAGCCCAAATCCAGGACAGAGGGGCTGAGTGAATGTGGTGTGGACTCTGTGGAGGAGGGTCATTGAGTCAGAGACGCTGTAGAAGGACAGAATTCCTGCACTGTGATCCACATACACTCCTATTCTGGAGGAGCTGGAGTTTACGGGGAGTTTAGACTCTTTATTATTGTGTTTGAAAGAGAATCTGGAGCCCCAGCAGATCAGACACCAGGACTGATCATTAGAGCCAAATCTAGACTCATTATATCCTCCTTTCCTACTGATGCCTTTATAAGACACTGCAATATAAACATAATTCCTGCTAAACTCGACCTCCCAGTAACAGCGTCCAGTCAGACTTTCTCTACAGAGAACTTGCCAAGCTTCATCAAATCTCTCTGGATGATCAGGATGTTTTTGGGTCTCCCGCATAAATGTCACTTTTCTGTTCCTCTCAGTCAGAGCGAGATTTCTGTGTACTGTGTTTGGATCCAGAGTGAGCTGACAGGAATCTGATGGAGGAGAGAAAATAAAATTAGTCCTATTTCTTCAAAACTATTTGTGCAAATAAAGACACAAAACAAAATCACTCATTAAAATAAATATCAAGGTCAGTTTTAAGCAGTACTGAGTAAACATGGCGTCCAGTGAATAAAAGGAGCAGAAACAATAACAGAATACAGAACAGAACAGAACTAGAAAAGACTGGTTTTGTTTACATGGAAGGCAAATTTAAAAACATAAAAACAAATCATTTATATGAATCTGTTTTTAATTAGTTTTTAATTGTCCAGAAGAACCAAATGTGTAAGCATTTCACATTTTAGCTGTTCTAGAGCTGAAGTGTGACATCATCACTCTCAACCAATCCCACCAACTGGCAGTTACAGCTGCTGCTCCAGTTCATGAATTGAATGTAGTAAAATTATGATTTTCACCAAAGACTGATGTGTTGATTCTGAAATATAGTTATGATGTATGAATTTCTACATACAGTTGATGTACAGTGGAAAAAGTATGAACACCCTCAGGTTCATTACATGCTTTGTCGATTCTCTAAGTGAAAATAAGTGAACACACCTTCTTCAAAGAACACAGATAAATATGACATTTTTCTGCACATTTTAGTGCACAATTTCTATTGATTTGCTGAGTTTAGCATTTTTCATTTTTTTGCACGACAATCTTTTGCACAGACCAATTGTTTTTCCGTTTCAGTAAATGAACAGTAACTGTGTATTAAAGCATGTTGAAGGATGATCTCTGTGGAGGATGTTCACTTACTGTCACTTAGAAAATCAACTAAACATGTAATTTGACAAGAGGCACCCAAACCTTTGTGTACGACTGTATGTTCTTCCAGGTGTGTGCGGTCAGTGTGAGCAGGGTGTGTGGCTGAACTTCTCTAGATCTAAAACTCAGAGGGAGCTGTTTCACTAAAGAGTGAAATCAGTGATCTGACCCTGAACTCAGAGTCACACTGCTACAGAAAATGATCATACAAGTGTTAAACTATATTAATATGACATGGTTGTTGTCCCTTAAGGAAATGTCTCACTGATAATGTTAATCAGTTCTGAATATGAACATAAAATCACAATCTGCATTTCCCATCCAGTGAAGCTGCAGGAGCTGAACTGCAGGACTGTGTCTAATTCTGGTTTGATATCCAGCAGCTGGACGAGCTGAACAGAACTACTGACTTTTAAACAAAGAACTACTGACCTGTTTATTTTCTTACTTATATATGGAGAGTTTGTCGCAAATGAAAAATATCATTCATAGATGACATTTATTCATAAATTGATACAGTGGCTTATAAGCTTCATGTTCATGAGATACTGAATGAAGGAGACACAAATGTTTGAAAATGCTTTTTTTAATATTAGCTCAGTGGTAATGTTAGAATAACGAGTCTATGGACTGAAATGTCACTATAAAAGCTACATCATCATGATATTTAGCCTGTATATCAGCTGACAAGGAATAAATATAAAGATATAAAGGTTTTGGATGTAAATGTGTGTCTGTGGTTGAGTAAATCTGTGATACTCACATTTCAGGAAGTCCTCTCTGGTCTTTGGTTCAGGTAACTGATGGATTTCTTGTGGTTTCTGCCAAGTATCAGGCGTCATGGATGAAGATACAATCCCTGAAAATGAAGGAAAATCTTACACAGCAGCCACAAAGCAAAATCACACATTGGTGTTTAATCTGTGTAGCAAAAGATAAAGTGTAGAGTGTCCCTGAAGGTGGTCAGTGAAATGGACAAAGACCTTATGGTAAGATTAGGTGTGGTTTGTAGGGGAACAAACACTAGTATTTTTGAAATTATTTGTTTCAGTGAAGCTCAGATACGAGCAGTAAAAGGTCAGTGAATAGGTTTAACATTATAGTGGTAACTATGTAAAAATCTTGGACAAACAACAAATATTGTGGTGTTGCTGGCATCATAAAGCTCCAATAACACTAAAGTTAGTTATAGGAGAAATATGTATGACTGTGTTCTTTTTTCTAGACTTAAAGAGTTTGGAGAGACGTTTGAGAAATTCTGCCAAATCTGAATGATATATCATTATGGCCACATCATATGAAATATATGGTATTATGGAAAACTGAAAATGAAGATAAACTATTCATTCATTCTACCTCCAGAGAACTTGACATGAAATTGTATTACAGACTATTAAAATGAAGATGATTAAGGAATTATATTCTCTTCTTTAGGATTAATCATTATATATAATTCATTCTACCTCCAGAGAACTTGACTATTTCTGGTTTAACTTGTTCCATCACTCCAGTCACAGCTTTCTTCAGGTCCTCCATGGAGAACTGTGGACTAATTGTGATACAGGGTAAGTCTGCAGATTGAGGAGGAGCAGTGAGAGACTGGAAACTCTGCAGAGATGAAGAAACACACAGATGGAGATTTCAAGATAAAACAGCCCAAAGAGGGGAAATCCACAGCACTTCCAGTGGAAAGGCTGACACGCCTTCTGTAGATGATCAGAGTCAGTGATGTTACCTGGAGGAAATGGATGTGATCCTCTGAGTGTGAAAGCTGCTCCAGCTCAGCGTCTCTCCTCCTCAGATCAGCAATCTCCTGCTCCAGTTTCTTCAGGAGCTCTTCAGTCTGACTCAGTTCAGTCTTCTCCTGAGCTCTGATCAGCTCTTTCACCTCAGAGCGTCGTCTCTCAATGGACTCAATCAGTTCAGTAAAGATCTTCTCACTGTCCTCCACTGCTGCCTGTGCAGAGTGCTGTTAGGAGACACACAGAGAGGAGGGGCTTCATCTGAAGCAGCTCTTTCACTGACCTCTCCACAGTGGGGCTCAGTGGGGCTGGAAAGTGACCCAACACTGGGCTCCTCACTGGCTGACTGGAGGAGAGCTCTGACTGAGAGCTGAAATGGCTCCTCCAGTGGTCAGCTGGTGTCTTCTCCTCTGGTCAGTATACTCACCCTGAGATTGTCCATAGCCTGTCTCAGCTCCTGCAGTTTATTCTCCGTCTGCTGGATTCTCTGCTGGAATTTCCTCTGATTCTCCACCAGCTGCTTCTGTAGACAAAACTTCATGTGTCACATTTACATGCTGACTGTTGTTCTCTTTACAACCACTTGGGAAACATATTCATAAAATGAGTTTATCTATGAGTGTAACTGTATTCTAATAATCTTTCTTCAGAATTTGTTTTATGATCACAATGTTCAGCCAAGGATGCAACAAAGTTTTAAATAAGTGAAAAAAGAATGTTTTGAAGAGAGTTTCGAAAGAAAACTGTATCATCTATACGCTCCTCTGTCTTATTTACTGTCTTCCATGGAAACCACTAATAACGAGGGAGGGGTTATCATATACACACACCCACACTCAAATGACTGGTCTTTTTTTCTGAAATCATTTAGAAATTATAGCTAATTTTGGCTCTTATTTTGTTACAATAAGCATTAAAAAAGTTATATTTTAGAACATTTATTTATCTGAGCCAAACCAGTCTGTGTGGTATATACAGGGCCGGCTATGGGCTTTTCAGGATCCAGAAGCAAAGCCTTGTTCTGCTCCTGATTCCAAGCCACGCCCACCTCAGCATTTCACTCCATGTAATAACAATGACACAACCCTTGTTTAAGTACAGTTTAAATCCACACAGTGCATCACCTTACACACTACCAGTCTCATGTCTCTCACTGTGTTTTATTACAGCTGGGTGTCTGACTGAACTTCATTCCAAAGTTTATTCATGATTATATATGAATATATGGATCAAACTGCAATAACACAGAAAAATATATTTTAATAAAACAATTAATTATTAAGACCACAGACCTTTACAAGTACAATGTTAGGCTCCATTTAAACGTAAGGTGTTCATTAGGACAGTAATCAGCTAAATATATACAAAATCACCATTTATAGAGTAGTTTGTATTGAATGTGTCTTTTTGTGTTATTTAATGTATTCTTTCTTGATTCCTTTAAAGTGAAGCTGAAAGATTTAGATCCATGAGTTTTATTTATAAAAAAACTTTATCAATAAATTTGCTGCCTCATGTTTTTATGTCACTACCAAAACACAAAGAGTTTTAGTTCATAGCTGGAGTTTTAATTTTAGCTACACTCCTACATTT